ATTTTTATTTCCAGGAGTTGTAGGCTTGCATTGACGGAAATACTTTGCGATGCACGAAGTGTAAAACGCACATCATTACAAGTGGGTGATTCACTTTGAAGACTTTGTAAATCATGCGACCGTTGTGCATACTAACAATGTAGTCTTTCTGGATTAGGATAAAGCGTCGATTGAAAAACGTGAACGACGGGTACCAATTCGACGAGATTCAAAATCGAATAGGGTTCCATTTTTCTTATCAAACATTTCCCAATGATATACAAACATTTTCAGGTCACCTTAGACAATTTTATTACTGTTGAATCATGTAATGCCCTTGCTGGTCATATTCATTTGATGTTACATTATTAATGCATTCTTTTAAACTGATTTTTATGAGAGCCTTGTGGTTTTACCCATCATATTACTCATGAGTAGGCATAATATTTATGCGAAAAATCGTACAGGGTTTTTTATTGGACACCGCCCATTGAGTTGACTAATCGATCCTTCTTTGGTAGTTGAATGAAGCACCTTACACCATTGTATGTTCACAATGAAAAAGTGAAACTCTGTTTTAAAGGCAGTATGGTTTCGACCTGAAGAAAAAATTCTGAGTGAATTAAGTCCCCAATGTGTTGGATGCTTTGTGTTTTGGTACAACAAGTTTTCCTGGTCAACGACAGATTAGTTCTCCANCAAAGTAAATCTCGTTCCCAATATCCAGCGCATAGTAAATCAATCAATTCCAACGCCGAATTTCATTTCTATCCTTACATGAAAATAAATTGCAATAAAACGCGAATATAGTCAGCGAACGTGAGATACTTACTCTGTTTCCATGATACCTTACGATGGTTGTTTAGTTAACTGTTGTTGACCTTATTAACTTCGACTAATTATTGGATTTTCAATGATTTCGAAAAATGTTGCGTGTTGATGATTAGACAAAATTTCGTGTAAGCAAACTACCGTGAATTTTTTCGGTGAACTAAATTCCATATCACCATCATCATCATTCTCGTTCACCGAAGTACATGGAAGCGAACTCCACTGATCGCTGCCAAACTCGCGATGCATATGCATTGGGGTTTGATGGATGAGTACTATTAGTGTGCCTAGCCACCAAGCAGGAGAACGATCAAGGTTCTCAACCAAAGACTTTATTTCTGACAAGAACCTAACCACAAGGCAGCGGGTGAAGCGAAGTCGAGGCCCATTTCCTTGGATCAATTACTCCTCCACCATTTTTTACCTACCGAAACGCCAATTCCAGTCGAACCCCCAACCTGGAGTACCATGAAACTGAACTTTGTGCGACCTCTACTCTTCGACCTTCCATGCATGATTAGATCTTCGGTTTGACAAAAGCCATCCAGTGTGGCTCGTTGGGTCAGAGAGGTGCACAAGCCATCACACCACGTCAAGGTGAAGTCTCGTCATAATGTTATATGATTACTACGAATATAAATTACACCACATTGGATTCGCAAGTATCTTAGTGATTAATGTTGATTTGTCTGGGTACCACAATGGGAGGTTTTTGTGTGCAGTATTACACAACACGCTGACTAGCTTACAGCGAGTGATCGAAAACGGCTTACCACCACTTTTCATTCTACATGCGCGGTGCACTCAGCTTGGTTCGATAGACAGATTATTCTTTGATGAACAAACCACCCCTTCCGATTAAAAAAAACAGTTGGCCGTAATTTAGCAAACCAGTCAGTCAATTCAATCACCCGTGTGTGCATACACATTCAGGCGTTCACACATTCACATTTTTACACCCCGAAAAGACCGTGATTTAATATAGCACCTTATGCTTCTCCTATGGAATGACAACCAGAACCGAAATACCCAATAATGCACTCAGAACAGGGGAGTTTGCGGATTGCATCATGTGTGCGATAATACGGTAAATGGATTGACATTTTCGATCAGTTTGGTTGTATTTTTGTCCATCCAGCATGGTTTTCTGTGCGGACATCTGTTCACTGACACTTTGACCGGAACACACGGGACGGCCAGAATACAGAGTTATACTCCAACACACTGGTTCAGCACTAAAATGACATTTCCATCAATCTACTTTCAGAACCACGGTGTCTGATCACTATCGCTTTGGAGTACAAAACGGATGTGAAATCGTGCGAGGATGATAGGGAGAATATTAATAAGGAGCTACGAAACAAGGTACTGTTTATTCTGAAATCCCATCCAGATTGTATGAACGCTTTTCTCCCATAATTGGACTCAGCTGTCCGTGGTACCTTGGAAATTGAACCAAATCCTCCGTCACTCACATGAAATAAGTGGTCCGGTTGTGAATGTTTTCAACCGAGCCATAACCCGGAAGCTAGTACTGAGACGGACAGGGTTTGTAGCTCGCAACAAACTCGCACAGATCGGTAGTGCTATGTCGTGTGAATGGAAAACGAAAAACGGCCTGATCGTNNNCACTCGCGTTCTGCCTGTGAGGTCCCGAGTTCGATCCCCCAGTTCGTTCGATGGGTTTGTGCACGGCTGATGAGATCCGTTCAGGTCGAATCAGAGATGCCCACTGCTTCCTACCTCTTAATTTCGCGCTTCTTTGTAATTGAAACAGATCCTACTGTATGGTAAGAAATGTTGGACCAAGAGGTCCAAATTCTCTGTTTGGCTAGGTTCCGTATTCGCGGGGCTAAGAATGCGAAGGAAAGCAACCCAGCTAAACCATCTAAATATCTGTATATGTATAACAAAAGTAAAAAGGGCATTCACGTTCCTATCTGGATGCCCGCCACATTTGGGGTCTTTATGGGACAATATCGTTTAGTCTCATTGACCAACCGTAACTGGCCACGATCATTGATTAGAGAGTAAACAAATGGTTTGAGTGGTGGGTTCTACTCAGGGTACGGACTGGTTGTCAAACCTTGCTGTTGGCATTTTTGGTAACCATTCTTTTTGGAGCGAACGATCACGTTCACCCTGAGAAATGCCATATGAAAGTATGCACATTAGAACTGCGACATTCAGATCAGTTTTCATTGACTTGAAATGAGCACTAATTTAATGGTAGTATCATTTTCCAGTTTAAAATAACGTGCAATACGTGTGTGTGTCTTTATTCGCACTGATAGTTGTGTTGTAAATGAGCATATTTAATAACCACGCTGTGGAAACATTTTCTCGTTTATCCATAGCGTGCACACGTAACCGGTACGCATGCCGATGAACAACAATGTGCGAGCTATTTGCAAACCTAATCAATAAGCAAGCGCATTACAAGCGATCAGAGTGCAGTCGTGCAGAACAGTCAATCAGGCAACGAGAAATCATTCTTAGCAGATGATTTAATCCAAAAATCTAACTCGTTGAAGTGAACAGAGATAGAAATGCCTTTTTGGATTATTCCATATGATCGAATAAAGGCATTCGGGCTTTATCGATGGTCTGTATCATGAATTTTCCCACATGGAGATCACCACCAGCTAAATTCGGCAGCAGAAATCACCCAGGTGACTGTCATGGAGGGAGCTCAAGTCAGTAGTTTTGTACTATTTTTGAAGCATCAGCAGTGATGACATTTTGTCAACCACCCCAAACTGGACCCGAAAGCGTTCAGGATGCTATTTGAAGAAATCCGTGAGCTGCATCGGTGACGGTAAAATATTTCGAGAATGGGCTCTAGAAACTGAAAAAAGTCATCTGCATGCGATGGAAATGTTTGTTTGATAACTGACAAAGAACACTGTACAGTTGCTCCGTCCTGTTTGGGACTCGTCAGCAGTGCGTAATTTTTTCTGTCCTTGTCAGGACTCGAACCACGAACGTTCAGGTTGGGACTTCAAACCCTTAACCCTGAGCTACACAGTCGACGGCCGTCACCTTGTGCGAATGGCTCAACCAATTTTAGAGTAGTAAGCTTGGATCAGCCCATTCTATTGTTAAGAGGCACTCTTGGTGTTCTTGGGTATGGATTTCACTCCTTGGGAAATCGTAATTTCCCACAATCTTTGCGTGCTGATGAGTCCAAAACAGAACGAAACAGCTGTCTAGTGTTCTTTGTCGGTTATCACTAACATTTTCATCGCATGCAGAGATGCATGAAATTGTGGGGAATCAACGATCTCCTAAGGAGTGAAACCCACACCCGGAAACATCAAGAGTGCCTGGTGCCTCTTAACAACCGAATGAGCTAATCCAAGCTTGCTACTCTAAAATCTGAGAAAATCATGTTTGGATTAGCCGGTGCGATTGATCACGGGCACCACGGGCACCGATCGCGGTTCCTCTCCATGGGTGATCGATCCCCCCGGAGTCCACCGAATGAGCTTCTAAGGCAAGGTTAATTGTTCAAATTTCTGTTTGGTAGATTTGAAATTTGAATTCTGAGGGAAACCTATCGAGGCAGTTAGCTTATATGCTAAGTGGTGGATACCATATGCCTGTGATTTGGATGGGTAAATCGAATGTGAAAAGATCGGTGCTGTCGGTGAGGCCTCGTAGCACAGCTGGTAGAGCATGTTATCTACTACAACGAAGGCGGCGTCCATGCGTGGGTTCGAATCCCACCGAAGCTACTGAACTTTCACAATCGTCATACAAACTCCAATCAGAGTCAATTTCAACCGAACATAGACATATAGGGCTTACCTCACCCCGTCCCTCTTCCCATCCCAAATGGCCTTTCGATCCAGCGTGAAAATGTGTCTTCACTAACAACAAACCCTTATATGATCTATACAGGCACGATTATGAATCATTCGAAAACAATTGTTCGCCTTCGTACTTGTGTTCTGGTGATCCAATAGGATTATTCTGGAATTTTAAAAACTATTTAACCTGACAAGCAAAACTGTCCAATTCATAAACAAATTTTGTTTAAAATAGTATGACATAATCCAATTCATGATCTCAAATATGCATATTCCCCACAGGTATACAATGTGTTCAGTGGAAGCCAATTTAAATATTTGTTCGACGTGAAATGCGTACCCTTGGCGCCTAAGAATTTCCACATCGTTCAAATCAGCATGGATCAATACGCGTACGAAAACTACGACAATACAAATGAATCCGCTGAGGAGAAAGTGAGACAAATGTTGAACAAAGATATGAATACTGAAAATATTCAATGTCGTGTACTAAGTGAGTCATCGTCTATTTGATTCAGTTTGATTTTAAGGGTTCACTCGTCATTAGTTAACTTTTGTTTCACGGTTATTAAAGCGAAACTGTTTGTGTAATAAAAATTTTTATCCTAATTGAGCTAAGTGAAACGAATAGATTTTAAGTAAGTGACGAGAAATCGCCGTTGGTGAAACCATCGGTCATTCAACCTACGGGTTCACTGTCTCGCTAATTATTGAAAGACCTTGGAAACTCTGGACAGCTCCTTCAATCACCTCTTCTCAATCCAACCTTGCAGGTTCGTTGGCGAATCAGCCCGTAACCTGCATGGAAGACCTGATTTGGTGGGAGCATTTGGATTGGAGTTAAAAGATTTTCATCTGTGTTTCCCTTCGTAGCTGTCTGGCCAAATGAGCTGATTATCAATGAAGACAATGAACAAACAAGAATCGATAATTCAGTTCAGCTATGGTATGAGTTAGTTGGCACAGTGGTAACGCACATACTTTCCATGCAATGGGTCCGGAGTTCAGTTCCCGGACGGTAGGACAGTAGATATGCACTACTGATGAGCTTTAATGAGAGCGAAACGCGAGTCAAGTGTCTTTGAGTGCTTGAATCAATGAACTGAGGATTGTGCGTAAAAAGAAAGTCCGAAGAATAGTCAGTTCAAATCGATACTCATCTCCAACCATCAGCTGCTCACGTCATTCGAACGCATCTAGCTTGAACGTCTAGAAACGAGAGTTTGGCAATTCGTAGTGATGCACATCCATTCAAGTCATACTTCTATACGTTTTCCAAATAATTCATTACGTGTATTAGTAAACTATACAAATGTACTGATCACCTAACGCGGTCTATCCATAGTTGAATCGAGTGACGGCTTTAAACGATATTTGAACACGATCAATTGTGTCTTACTGCTTCGAACTTGAACGCGTTTTATTTGAGGAAACATTTGAACAATTAGGTGCTTTCCAGATCGAGTTAACTCGTGTGACATGACTCCAAATGACTCAGAAGTATACGTCATTGTGTAATATCATATTTGTGTATCGATAACTGTGGGCGAGGAGAATTTACTGCAAAACTTTATCGCCCGCTGCAATGTAATTATTTCTCTTGTATCATCATTCGAATTGGAGCAACTCTGAGTGGACCGATAGATTTGTAGTAGTTCAAACTTTCCAGATCAGATTTAGAACACATTTGGGGCGGAGCAGCAGGAAATTTCATTCTTTCTAATAGATAATTACAGTTTGATGAGGGTGTTTATGCTGGTCCCTACAATTATTCTGAATTGCATGTGCTTTTCATGCGATGAAAAGTAAATTTACCCATAAGTGATAATTACTCCCCTTAAATACATTGACAAATTAGGCGGCCACAAACCGCTTATGTCAAAGCCCTCGTATTAGACGGAGGAAAATGTATTCCAAGAAAAGTAAGAATTATCTTTCAAAAGTGAACCTTGAGATGCGCAGCTTGTTGAATAAGCGTTTGGTAATATCATCATACCCAAACAGAACGAAACATTTGGGAGTTTTGGGCATTGACGTGAAACAGTAAAAAGCAACGTTTCCGATAGGCGCATAAATCCGACTACCCAGGTCCTGAAGTGTGTGCAAAAGTTATTGTATAATCAGGGGCATTTCTCCAGGGCGGTAGTGATGCGGAGAAAGAAAACCGACCACCTTTAAGCAAGACGAATAATAAATTCGGTCGCAGATCAGGAAGGCTACAAGCGACCAAAATATCAAACATATTCCGGGCGAATCATCCGTCAATGTCTTACGCCACTGTTTAGACACACTGGTTAAATTTGAACTGCACCTGAGGTCAGTTGACGTGAAGCCGTTATTGAATGTCGTGCGAAAGTAGTAGTGTGAGATGCTCGGCTCATGTGTGTGCGGCAGAATGTTCCCCGTGAACGAATAAGCCAGACAACCGCAAGTGGGCCGAGTCTAGGTGTGGGGCTGGAACCGTCGACACACAGGAGGTTCTCCTTGGACAGGGGGTCAACGGACAATCTGAGAGAGGAAAATGCAGACCATGAACCAGGTGGTCCAGTGAGACATGAACACGACTCACATTCAAACGGAATGGCAAGTTGCCAAGGTCGTTACAATAGTGCTATAAATGAACATGGTCAGTGTCGAACTGATGAGGAGTTGCTCGTTGCAAGAATGACGTGTGTAGAAGGTAAATAGTGTTGCACAGAACGAAACGTGTAACTTGAAACAGTCAGTTCATCATTTCATGAAAGACTCTACACCCTGGGTTTACCGAGGGAATAGTTAATTCACTTACTTCCCTTATTCATCCAATCAGTGTGAGCTATGAAACATAAATGAGCCGTAATTTCAGACAGAAAGAAAAAAATCTCTTTTTAAAGCACAATCTGTATAGCACCGCCTAATAAAATATTCTTCCCACACACTCATAGGCGTGATTGAAGCACTGAAGCCAGAAGAAATTGGTGAGTTCAATCTCATTTTATCCGTTCAAATAAGAATTTTTCTTATACATCACCAAAGTCTGTACGGGCCCAAAAGGTTTTTGATACAATCAATCCACTTCCTGTGGAGTTGAAATTCTTACTACTATATTTAATAATCTCTGTATGCTCGTACACTTAAGTTCACCATAAGCGATCCAGAAGACGTTCTTCGTTTTCACAAGAAACACACAAAACATTATCAAAATCGAACACAGTTCCACTTTATTTTTTTCAGGTCTTCTTATAAATGTGAACGACAAATGTGCCAGCAATGATGTATGGTCTAACGATTTGCTGGTGCAGTATAAAGAGAAGTTGAGTAACCAAGTCAGTGCCACAACCATGCAAGTAAGTATATTGTCACTAACACTGTTCGTGTGACCCCTCGAAAATAGGATTGAATGGGAAGTTCTCTTCATGTATGGACCTAAAATATCTGTTACCGTTCCCAGTTGTTGACTGAAAATTGGAAACGGAAAACCTTATGGTCACCAAACAAATGCTTGCTCTTCACTCATTCACCTTAGTTCGCGAACTTAGGATGGCGAAGCATCATGCGGATAGGTGCTGCATTTCACCGGATGGTAGACAAACATAGGTGATCTCCGGATCAAGATCACGCTTATGCGAACGGAATAAACTGCCTGATGACCACCAACCACGTTGACCATCCACAGATGAACAATAAAAATGGGCACCTGGTTTCCTATTCACCTTGCTATAATTCCAGAAGACGGTTCTGGTAGAGAATAGTTCTTCTTAGAGACCCAGCAAAGTGCCCTCAGTGATCTTGTTGATTTTTGGTCGTTGGAAGTACTCACCAACTCTGTTACCTGCTACTCACAAGTGAGTAGTATCTCACAGCAACCTAAATGATATGAATTTCACCACGGGACTATTATTCGTTTTCGGGGCTCGTGATTGGAAAAGAAATCTCGTTAAAACCAACTCGGGATAAAGCTGCTTCATTTGACGAGAATCACTATTATTATTACCTCTTGTAAGGTTAATAACGGCAATCACAGACCGATTGAAATGGCGGGAAAGCATTGATTACGTGAGATAATCATCCATATCAGAACAAAGAGTAACAAAATCTGAAAATCTCGGAAGCATTTCATTGACGAATGTTTCAATCTTGTTCAGCATTGCTAGCGGAAAGAATGCATCCGTATAATTTTCAGTTGAACTCCTGATCCGGTAACGTGTGATTCGTAACCGAACCGCTCAAACCCGATTACGAATTTCCGAGTCCATGGATACTACTTACACAGAAACACAACCACAATTCTACTTGTCTAACTCACCTCACATTTCCCGTGCTCTGCATGATCCCGTGGTAAAATGGGTAATCAATTACTGCTGGTATTTTGGATTTGTCTCTCACGTAAACCGCATGAATGTTTTCTTATCTGTATTTCAGATAAAGTCAGTCCTAACAGGTGTACTGATGGAAGCAATGCCCGTGACCAAAATCGAGCCAGTATTCATTTATTCAAACGAGAATAAACTGGGAGTACAATTTATGGTACGTGTGCAAGCAAATCGACACAATGTGGAAGATCCCACGGTGCAAAAACTTCTCCTCAATAGAATTGATCAAGGAGGAATTTGCTTTAACGCTATTCCGACGGGAACCAAAATTATGAGTAAGCTATCGTTTGATCACAAGCAAACGCGCATGAGAAGATTGGCCGACTGCATTCACAGATCTAACGCCCACAATTTGTCTTATATGACAGACTTTTAGGCTGTGGTTGTTTATATTTATATGTGGTGTTTTATTTGACAAAAAAGTTGAGCCAGACTACATATTAATAGCGCTAAGCATCGTGTTTAAGAGCTCTGGCGATCTGGCGAACGCTAAAGCAACGACCTGTTGCGGATGACTTATGCTGAGAAGAACCATACGTGAAAACCAACCGCAAGTAGTGGGTGACTTTAAACCAACAGCCAGCGGTTCTGACGAGCGCGTTCATAGGTCCGCGGATTGTAGATCGCATTAAAGTGGTTGACCATAATTGGGTAGAGATTATTCTCCTAAATCAGCGGTCTCAGACAATCCTCAGTTATGTGCGCGAATTTCTTCCAACAACTGATTTCCAAAATAAGAAGCCACAACTTTCCATAGAAATACATATAGAATGACGCGTGTGAACCTGAAACACATCCGGAAGTTGTGGTTTCTAGTCTGATCACGTTTAGATCGATCCTGAAATACCAGTACTCTTCAAAATTCTCATCGATTTATACGAGTTTGGTAGTTCAGCTCAGCTCAGTGTGTACATCCATTAACCCTGCACCTTGGTGCGCTGGGTTTTGGTTGATGCTTTTAACTGACAATTTGGATTAACATTAGAAGAAACACAGGAAAAGTTGAAAGTAGGATCACGGAGAAAATTTAGAATTTCAAGGTGGACTAATTTTGTCGTTTGACCACCCTTGGCTTCCTTCCACCCACTGCTTGCCTCGGCCAACGTCGCTCGCCGTGGCAACCTATCTGGTGACATGTGCAACACATGTCTCGACTAGCATAATTTGTGGAGTTCGACCACTTGCTCCAGTGGACGACCACGAATGCCTAGAACTGTACGCCTGACCTCAGCATTGCTCATCCGGCTGCCCCGCCAGATTCGTGCAATGATGCGTAGACAGCGGTGTTCGAACAATAATCGATTTTCATCCTGCTCCCGTGATGGACAAGTTTCTGCATCGTAAAGATGAACTGGTCGAACTGCTGCAGCATACACGGACACCCGGATGTCGCAACGGCGCCACAAATCTCTCAAGTTGGCAAATGTCAACCGAGCCGTCTGCATGCCAACAGTAAGCAATTGAGAAAGAATGCGTCTATCAAGTTGCAAGGACAGGAGATGTGTGTGATGGGGTCAGACGGACATGCTCCAAATTCGAATGGCTGTGATCATGCATTTTATCATTCAAAATGCATTCATGTGGCAATGGAAAACCAACAATAACTCTTTTCTGGTCTCGTATATTCGATTACTTTGTGCGTTCAATCTGACTAGAGTATTTTGATCACCGGAATTGGTGAAGAAGGCAATTAGATCAGTTATGAAACTTTGAAACTTTAAAAGAATACCAATTAGCTTTGGATCGAGAATGTGTGATTGACAGATGCAACGTATCTCGTGGATAATGTTTTCACCATTAAAGGCCATATGATCAGAACCAGAAGACAGATAGAACGACAAGTGGATGCATTCGCAGCGTAATATTTTATTCTCCAGCGTCAGTTTAAATTAGCACATCTACGTTTTGGTTATGCGTGAAATTTCAACATTCCATCTTTGTTCACAGTTTGGAGTGGATTCTGAATCTCGCGTGGATAAGGTGAGTGATTGTGCTTCATATACCTAAGACGTGTTTCTATTTTAATATGTGAATTTCCTTGTTCCGAATACTATCTAACGTGAATCCCTATTGGGTCGATTCGAGTATGGGAATATGTTTATGATTTCCCGAATGTGCAATAATTCTCATTAGACCAGTATGCTGTATGCAAACTACCTCTCATTGGATATACTCAGAACGGAAAAAATGACCAGGATATCCTCTAAAATTCACAGCAAAGTTATTTTTCCAAATCCACAACCTATGTGGTTGAAAGCGTCAACCACAATCACGGGCACAACTTACTCGATGGAATAAGAGGCACAACTAAAAACATTACACTGAACAATAAAACAAAGTGATAATATCGCAAACCAATTTATCTGATTTCTCTCCCCCTCACTAGCAACTTTTCGTTGTTCATTTTCCATCCCCCTTCTTTCACAACAGTGCTCGCTTAACAAAATGCTGAAGTTTTCCCTTTTTGCTCTTAGTTAGCTTGCTTTGTGTTGTGTATTAAATTTTTAAATAAAACTACTACTACTACTACATTTGGCATTTTCATCCTATGCGCGTGGTATATAGATATTTTATTCCTCCAGATCCGGTTTGACACACGGTTACTCGACAGAAGAGAGAGAGAAAGGTAACAATGTCGAATATGATCGTATATGGAACAGTTGCTCAGTCGCACGATTCATCCTACTCAAAAGTTGATGCTGTAGGACCACCGGAATGGTCACTTACGATCAAACCGTATAGTTAACAAAACCAAACGGAGCGTTGAACAGGACACACACAGTGGCATACCCAAATCCCTGTGAGATCAGCGGAAAATGTTCCGTCTATTAGTGAATAGATTCGCTCTCTGTCACTCTCTTGAGGGTAACGTTAGCCATATTTTCTGCAAGCAAAATGATCACAACATTGATGTCTTCACAGACAGGATTCAAAGAATGACAATCAGTCTCGGGAATTTGTGGCCTCGATGTAAATTTTCGTTCCGCTCGCATTTGACTGTAATCGCCTGGTGCGACCAATGTGGACAAGAGGAAATGTTATGAAGGGTGGTTCTATACAGTTCGTGTTTAATTCCATAAGAGCTTCCGTGTTGTGAGCTGATGTAACGGACCTTCGCTCCAGTCTGCAATAGGACAATACACGATGGGTGCGGTTCGCGGGGTGCCAATGTAACTCTAGTTGGAAAAGGCACGGTTTGAACGGCGATAGAAGTCAATGTTTTATTGCGGGTAATACTTACAAGTTGCTATGTTTTCTGTCGTGGTAGTTATGTCTATGCATAGATCAGTAGACTCGTCTAAAAGATGTGAAGTTTGCATGCAAACTGGATTGTCTAAAAACCACTGTTATGCGCAGTTGTCAGAATTGGACGCATATCAATGTCTCACCAATCCTCTGATTGAAATAATCCGCTAATAGTTCACAGACGATGTGATACGTTATGGAGTTCCTAGTGGTGCACACTCTGAAGACAAAAATCACATCGAACATAAGGTTGAAATTTGGAGAACATTAAATCAATTAGATGTAGACGTGGGAAACCAAAGTGAGCAGCAGATAACACAAGTGATTGTTTGTCATATCAAAGTCAAAGTTTTATTATGGGCGATTTAACAAAGTTAAAGCTTATCGTGCTCCATAGGATTTTACAAAATATTTTGAATAATTTCACAAAGAGAAAATAATAATAATAACAGTTTGCGTGATCATTCACAGATGTGGAAATGTCAAGTGTTCCAATCCTTTATCAAGTTGCGATTTAAATAGTTCAACTGTAGGAACACACTACATGGGATGTAAGAAAATTACACACGCCGAACACTCTGACTGCAAACAAGTGACTCCAGCAATCAGGGTGGCTTTTCTGGATCTTCACCGTTAGTGGATGTCCCCTGAAGTGATCATTTTGAAATAAAGTCGGCATAGAACGGTACGAGTGGTTGGGTTGCTACAGTATGTGATATACCAAGATTAGGTCCCCGAAGTCGACGGTATTCAGATGAGGAGAGTCCCAATAGTTGCAGTCTTTCGGAGTGTCTTGTTATACAGATCTTTTATCAATTTTGTTGCCAGACTTTGCGGACGTTCTAAAGCCATCTTGTCGCGGTTCAACCATGGATTCCATACTTGAACGGCGTACATCGTGTGTAGCCGGACGAACGCTGATAACAAGCGTGGGAACAGTGCTGTTTTGAACTGCCCGAAAACAAGTCTGAGTAGTTGTGGGTTTTCAGTCCGAGTTCAAGTTCGCGCTGTTCAATTCCGGTTCCTATTCGATTACTACAGTAGTCCAACTTGCTTTAGAGCCATGGATGATACTCCGGCGCAGTGCGTGGAACATCCTACGTCCTGCTGTACCATAACTCCCAAATCCCTTTCGTCAGTGGTATACGGTAATATTTGATTCCCCAGAACATAGGAGAAACTAGTATTATGCCGCATGGAAATAACTCGGCATTTGGAAACGTTAAACGCGATGCATTTGCGATTGACCGTCGGTGAGCTGTATCGATCGTTGGAGTGCTATATAATCCTCTGTGTTACAGTTCTCCAGTGATGTTCGACACATCAAATTCGAATCTCGTTGAATTTCCACAATGATTCACAATCGAGTCTGTAGTTAACCGAAGCGTAATCTTCAAGCTGACGAGGGGTTATCTGAAGACCGACCGGTTTCACGGGGGCTTGGTGCTAAATCCGTAGGATGCCACTCACACGTCCAAGGTACCTACTAAAACCTTAGCAAATGGACCATCTATGCGACCCTGGTGTCCGTTTCAAGTGCCTCATCCGGGAAGGTTTGAAATTGAGTTTAAGCCAATCCTCTGAATAATCCAGCTGTTTGTCCATACAACACTGGATTTTCGTCCTTGCATTTTAGTGAGAACATTGTCGTCACGAAATAGGAGATAGGACGTCGTCAGCAGAGGACCAAGGAGACCCATCTCCCGATTGCGTTTCCCGTGCGGAGAACGAAGCCTTCAATCCAGTTTGCGTAGCCAGATCTTGAAACTGAGACAGAGTTTACCCGTACACAATGGACGAGAGATTGTTCTTCCAAAATCAGCACGCAGTGAAGATCCAGGTAAGTTGCAAGCTTTTCTGGATAGTTGAAGTGCTAGTATAGCCATGTTCCGTATGCATTTTGCACCTTCAAAGTGTAAAATGCTATTACAAGATTGGGTCGGTCCAGCACCCAGTCTCACCCTAACTGGGGAAGTAGACAAATTTTGCTATCTGGGAAGCTATACTTCACCTGGCGGACGCATTTCAGATGAAGTGTCAGCGCGGATACAAAAGGCTCGGTTGGCATTTGCCAACTTGAGAGATTTGTGCCGCCGTCGCGAGATCCGGCTGTCTGTGAAGGGTGGAGTG